GACTGGCTGTTGTCAGGGTTGTTAAGTATGATATACATAGAAAGCAGGTTTACCTCAGGCAGTAGAGACCACCAGTTCTTCCTTAAAATATGGTAATAGACTGTTGTGTTCTTCATTTATATCATTTCCTCCCATTTTGGTCTTAGAAAGTATTTTTACATTTGTTTAACCAAATTAATTTACAAATCTCTTTTTTTTTATAAAAAAGGGAAGTATTTCTAATGAAATTTATTATATATATTTTTCTGTATACTAATTATTTAGCATTGTCTCAACAGAAATCATTTGGCAATCTCTCAAAAAGACATGAGTTAAAACAGCAATTACAGTGTAAAAATTTTACCTGGTACCTAAGCAATGTTTTCCCTGAAGCATATGTACCAGATTTGAATCCTACGTTACATGGATTTGTGAGTATTTATTTATGCATATATTTTGTTGTTTTGTATATAGAAGGTACAGAGAGAGGGGGGGGGGGACGGACAGACAGAGACGTCAGACAGAGGAAGACGACAGATAGAGGGAGAGAGGGAGAATATCTGTAGCTCAGTGTTGAACTGTGGAGTTCTTGATATTCTCTGATCTTGTTGTTTTCTTGCAGACATTTCATTCCTCAACTGAGTAACATCAGTGGGAATGTAACCTCATCACTCCCTTGCACTGATGATAGTTAATGAAATGTCTACAAGCAAACAACTCACAGAGCACCAAGAATTTGACAGTTCAACCCTGAGCTAAAGATACTCTGTTGGGGAGGAGGGAGGGAGGGAGGGAGGGAGAGAGAGAAAGAGAGAGAGAGAGAGACCGAGACCGAGACCGAGACCTATATCCATATATATGCATATGTGTGTATACATATATACACATATATATACCCACACATGTATGTGTACACACACATACACATACACATCCATACATACATGTTTTAACAAGTTTTCAGGGAGTACCTATATTTGCCTCTCCTTGGATAAACTTAGTCATGTAGCTTCCTCACAGCAGCTGGCCACCTTCAAAGTGATTCACTCTGGATATGGAAGAATTCGCCCACAGAGCTCATGCTGGATTCTTCACTTCTCACAACCCTTTCATAATCTTCACAGAAGTGCCTCTTGATTGTGCCACTGGATGCTAGAATTGTGCACAAACTGATCGTGTAACTGGGAAGCACAGGTAGTTTGCAGATAATATTAACATCTAGCCCAGGGGTCTTCAGACTTGGCCCTTTTATGACTTGTGGACTTCAACTCCCAGAATTCCTCAGCCAGGCACGCGGGCTGAAGAATTCTGGGAGTTGAAGTCCACAAGTCATAAAAGGGCCAAGTTTGAAGATCTCTGATCTAGCAGCATTATCGAGAAGATTCTCCACCAAGATTGTGAAACAACTGTATGGCTCAAACTCACTCCCAATGGCTGCATGTCGCAGAGCTATGCGTGGGCTATAGGCAGCACCAGCCATGTAGAATATAAAAAACTAACATGAACCATGTGGCGCAAGTGAGAAGACTCTCTTAGTCATTGGTTGAGCAAATTGTTCCATGAGTGACAATTATTTGCTGTGCAGAAACCATACAGAGCCTTGTGACTGAGCCGAGACGCAAGAAGAAGAAAAAGCAAACACGGGTACATTATGCAAATATTTTCTATGGTAGGAAGAGGAAGAAAGTTTTCATGGGAAGAAAAGGATGATTATAGGTTCTGAAATCCAATTTCCATACATTCAGGATTTTGTTATTTGTACTTTTACTCTGAAACGTACCACCCACAGATAAAGGTGGTATTGTATTGTAGTTAAGCATAGACATATGATTCTATTTCGACTTTCTATTTAGCTAAAGAACATTGGAAGAAGAGATTGTTTGGATGTTGGAGAAAATAATTTAGGCGGAAAGCCGCTGATTATGTACAGTTGTCATGGACTTGGAGGAAACCAGGTAAAATTACTTTATATATACGAAATGGCTATTCCAGTTCTCCCTTAATTCTTTGTCAGCAATCAAAAATTTTGAAATATATATATATGTATATGTGCACACGTATATGGTCCCGATAAGCATACAACTTAATGCTCTTCCTGTACTTTTCTGAATTTGTTACTCTCTGGTTACGACAAGATCTATAAAACAAGTATTTTCCAGTACTATTAATTTTCTTTTGAAACAGAACTACATGCTAGTATTGGTTTTCAGTGCTTTTTCAGGTCGGATGACTATTTGGTCCAGAAGATCTTTCAAGCTATCTGTTACCTAATGCCCTTAGACTCTTTTGGAGTTGATACAGAAAGGATTCCCTAAGGATAGGGAAATATTGTCAAATTAGTTTGCATGCTTAATTGGTATACAGTTAGGTTTTTACCTACATAATAGCATATTTGCATCCCTTACCAAGTCGCCATCTACATCTTAGTCTAATGTATTGCATTAACTCCAGGTCACATAGTTAGTTTCTGATTCAGTGTGAAGCAGAAAATTGCGTTAGTTGTGTTGCAGTACTTAACCATGGGTAAACCATTGTTTAGATGTGGTAATTAAATAACGCAATAAGGCTTTAAAAATGTTTAAAATAAGAACACATTTCAAGGAATTTTGTTTTAATGGCTCTTGATGAAAACCTAATACTGAAATATATGGGAAGCCCCCCTTTCTTTCTTGACTAGCAAAGAAGTCAAGGGAGTTTATTGCCTGGGGAGTTCTGAACATCCTTAGAAATTAAACACACCAGAAGAAATTAAAATGATAGGTGCAGTCTTTTATTGACTAGGAGATTGTGTGTTCCACCTGTCCAAACAATGGTAGCAAGAGATACATATATACACACCTACATACATATAAAGTGTTTGTTCGTTCGTTCGTTCATTCATTCATTTTCTGTAGCTGCTCATTTCAAACCAATTGACTCTCGGCGGTAAACTATATCACAATAATTAAAATTGTAAAAACACACCAAAAGTTACAAATTATACATAAAGGCAGCTTAACGTTACCTTCATAATTATGGAACAATTAACACTGCAACTGTAACAGGGCCACTAACACTTTCAGGACCTCAATCTCAGGCACATAGCTGGAAAAGACTAAAAGGAGGGGTGGGGGTGTCATCCTGAGCTCCAAAGGAAAAATGTTCCAAAGGGCAGGGGCTACTGCTGACAAGGCTCGCCTTCTGGTCCTCACCAGCTGACATTCCCTGGTTGATGGGACCCACAGCACCTCTAAACCGAATTAGACAGGTAGAAAATATTGAAAGAAGGCAGTCTCTAAGGTAGCTTGGTCTAATATAATATACTAGTTTTAGTTTAGTTTAGTTTATTTGAATTTATATCCCGCCCTTCTCCTTGCGGACTCAGGGCGGCTGACAATCAATTTAAAATACACCAAAAACAATTACAAAATTTAAAATTAGTTAAAAAGAAATATTTAAATGTTGTCTAATTAAAATATAATTAAAACCCCTCTAAAAAATTACCCTAGGCCAGTCCCGCTTGNGACTGGCTGTTGTCAGGGTTGTTAAGTATGATATACATAGAAAGCAGGTTTACCTCAGGCAGTAGAGACCACCAGTTCTTCCTTAAAATATGGTAATAGACTGTTGTGTTCTTCATTTATATCATTTCCTCCCATTTTGGTCTTAGAAAGTATTTTTACATTTGTTTAACCAAATTAATTTACAAATCTCTTTTTTTTTTATAAAAAAGGGAAGTATTTCTAATGAAATTTATTATATATATTTTTCTGTATACTAATTATTTAGCATTGTCTCAACAGAAATCATTTGGCAATCTCTCAAAAAGACATGAGTTAAAACAGCAATTACAGTGTAAAAATTTTACCTGGTACCTAAGCAATGTTTTCCCTGAAGCATATGTACCAGATTTGAATCCTACGTTACATGGATTTGTGAGTATTTATTTATGCATATATTTTGTTGTTTTGTATATAGAAGGTACAGAGAGAGAGGGGGGGGACGGACAGACAGAGACGTCAGACAGAGGAAGACGACAGATAGAGGGAGAGAGGGAGAATATCTGTAGCTCAGTGTTGAACTGTGGAGTTCTTGATATTCTCCGATCTTGTTGTTTTCTTGCAGACATTTCATTCCTCAACTGAGTAACATCAGTGGGAATGTAACCTCATCACTCCCTTGCACTGATGATAGTTAATGAAATGTCTACAAGCAAACAACTCACAGAGCACCAAGAATTTGACAGTTCAACCCTGAGCTAAAGATACTCTGTTGGGGAGGAGGGAGGGAGGGAGGGAGGGAGGGAGGGAGAGAGAGAAAGAGAGAGAGAGAGAGACCGAGACCGAGACCTATATCCATATATATGCATATGTGTGTATACATATATACACATATATATACCCACACATGTATGTGTACACACACATACACATACACATACACATCCATACATACATGTTTTAACAAGTTTTCAGGGAGTACCTATATTTGCCTCTCCTTGGATAAACTTAGTCATGTAGCTTCCTCACAGCAGCTGGCCACCTTCAAAGTGATTCACTCTGGATATGGAAGAATTCGCCCACAGAGCTCATGCTGGATTCTTCACTTCTCACAACCCTTTCATAATCTTCACAGAAGTGCCTCTTGATTGTGCCACTGGATGCTAGAATTGTGCACAAACTGATCGTGTAACTGGGAAGCACAGGTAGTTTGCAGATAATATTAACATCTAGCCCAGGGGTCTTCAGACTTGGCCCTTTTATGACTTGTGGACTTCAACTCCCAGAATTCCTCAGCCAGGCATGCTGGCTGAAGAATTCTGGGAGTTGAAGTCCACAAGTCATAAAAGGGCCAAGTTTGAAGATCTCTGATCTAGCAGCATTATCAAGAAGATTCTCCACCAAGATTGTGAAACAACTGTATGGCTCAAACTCACTCCCAATGGCTGCATGTCACAGAGCTATGCGTGGGCTATAGGCAGCACCAGCCATGTAGAATATAAAAAACTAACATGAACCATGTGGCGCAAGTGAGAAGACTCTCTTAGTCATTGGTTGAGCAAATTGTTCCATGAGTGATAATCATTTGCTGTGCAGAAACCATACAGAGCCTTGTGACTGAGCCGAGACGCAAGAAGAAGAAAAAGCAAACACGGGTACATTATGCAAATATTTTCTATGGTAGGAAGAGGAAGAAAGTTTTCATGGGAAGAAAAGGATGGTTATAGGTTCTGAAATCCAATTTCCATACATTCAGGATTTTGTTATTTGTACTTTTACTCTGAAACGTACCACCCACAGATAAAGGTGGTATTGTATTGTAGTTAAGCATAGACATATGATTCTATTTCGACTTTCTATTTAGCTAAAGAACATTGGAAGAAGAGATTGTTTGGATGTTGGAGAAAATAATTTAGGCGGAAAGCCGCTGATTATGTACAGTTGTCATGGACTTGGAGGAAACCAGGTAAAATTTACGAAATGGCTATTCCAGTTCTCCCTTAATTCTTTGTCAGCAATCCAAAATTTTGAAAAATATATATATGTATATGTGCATACGTATATGGTCCCGATAAGCATACAACTTAATGCTCTTCCTGTACTTTTCTGAATTTGTTACTCTCTGGTTACGACAAGATCTATAAAACAAGTATTTTCCAGTACTATTAATTTTCTTTTGAAACAGAACTACATGCTAGTATTGGTTTTCAGTGCTTTTTCAGGTCGGATGACTATTTGGTCCAGAAGATCTTTCAAGCTATCTGTTACCTAATGCCCTTAGACTCTTTTGGAGTTGATACAGAAAGGATTCCCTAAGGATAGGGAATTATTGTCAAATTAGTTTGCATGCTTAATTGGTATACAGTTAGGTTTTTACCTACATAATAGCATATTTGCATCCCTTACCAAGTCGCCATCTACATCTTAGTCTAATGTATTGCATTAACTCCAGGCCACATAATTAGTTTCTGATTCAGTGTGAAGCAGAAAATTGGGTTAGTTGTGTTGCAGTACTTAACCATGGGTAAACCATTGTTTAGATGTGGTAATTAAATAACGTAATAAGGCTTTAAAAATGTTTAAAATAAGAACACATTTCAAGGAATTTTGTTTTAATGGCTCTTGATGAAAACCTAATACTGAAATATATGGGAAGCCCCCCTTTCTTTCTTGACTAGCAAAGAAGTCAAGGGAGTTTATTGCCTGGGGAGTTCTGAACACCCTTAGAAATTAAACACACCAGAAGAAATTAAAATGATAGGTGCAATCTTTTATTGACTAGGAGATTGTGTGTTCCACCTGTCCAAACAATGGTAGCAAGAGATACACATGTACACGCCTACATACATATAAAGTGTTTGTTTGTTCGTTCGTTCATTCATTCAATTTCTGTAGCTGCTCATTTCAAACCAATTGACACTCGGCGGTAAACTATATCACAATAATTAAAATTGTAAAAACACACCAAAAGTTACAAATTATACATATAGGCAGCTTAAAGTTACCTTCATAATTATGAAACAATTAACACCGCAACTGTAACAGGGCCACTAACACTTTCAGGACCTCAATCTCAGGCACATAGCTGGAAAAGACTAAAAGGAGGGGTGGGGGTGTCATCCTGAGCTCCAAAGGAAAAATGTTCCAAAGGGCAGGGGCTACTGCTGACAAGGCTTCCCTCCTGGTCCTCACCAGCTGACATTCCCTGGTTGATGGGACCCAAAGCATCTCTAAACCGAATTAGACAGGTAGAAAGTATTGAAAGAAGGCAGTCTCTAAGGTAGCTTGGTCTAATATAATATACTACTCCCCTCAGCTGCCAAAATCAGGGCAGTTCCAGAGCAAATGCGTATCATCTAATAACCGTGGCTTAATAGCTTTGATTCTGATTTCTTTAAATTTCTTTTTGACCATGTTACACTAGTTCCTTTTGCGCTTCTGTCTCTGCTTCAGCTCGCTGGCCTTTGTCTATTCTGTCTTTCCTGATAACCTTGACTCTTCCTTCCCTGCTTTTTTCCTTTCCTCTAGAAGTTTTTGCTGTCAAGGAGAGAGCCACTGTGTGATTGAGCAACCAGGCCCGAGTCATCTGTCCTGTCATACTTAAAACCTCAGGCTGGGAGGTCAGAGAGCTCTTCCTTGTAGTAAAAACCACCTACTATTTTGAGTATTTTGCATTTCTAGATGGGTAAATGTCTAATGAGCATTCCTGGACACACAGCCAGCTTTGTTAAAAGCTGAAAAGCAGTGTAATATGTTAAAATGCATGTGTCAATACGCTGCACTAATGAAAGAAATGTTCCACTACTGGACCTCTGATGAGGATATTCCTTATTACACTATTAAAACATTTGCTAAATATCAAAGAAAAAAAAATACTCTTCTAGCTTTGCTATTGATCGATACTTTCAGCATGGTTTGGGCAAAACTAAGTCCTTTTTTCAGAATTCAGTAGCAGTAAGTAAATCTTGTATTTCCTTCTGAAATTGCTGGAGTTTATCATTTTAAAGGTTGTTAATTATAGAATCATTAGATATTCTACTGACTTTCAGGCTAACTCTGTTCTCTACAAATTAGTTTCTTGGGAATATGTCATAGATACATACATACTTCTCCATAGTTCTCTGCTTTGCATATCTTGAAGGAAATTATATTAACAGAATCTTTTTAATAGATGATGTCAGCTTTTCTCAACTGGGATTCCACAAGATTGAAAAATATTACCCCTTATATTTTTAAACACTACTGTATGCTCAGTTCTAGTGCTTACAGTGGTGCAATTTTTTTATATGCAGCAACTGAGCTGCCAGTCTGCCACTTTTTTGTTATAAAAGTTGTGAAACATGGATTATAGAAGTTAGAAGTGAATTGTATTTCGAAGGGAATTGTATTTTGGCAATCTTTATGCAAGGGTTCCCGGAGACCTGAAAATTATTCCAAGGGCTCCACCAGGGTAAAAAGATTGAGAAAGGCTGGATTATGTTTTATAGGCAGTTACCCTTTCTATTTATCATTACTGTTTTTGGATTTTGATTAACATTTCTTTAGTAATTACAGCAATGAATGGGTATCACTATTCTGATGACTGACATTTGTTTATACAGTATTTTGAGTACACTGCACACCATGAAATTAGACACAATATTCAGAAGGAGCTATGCCTACATAGTTCTCCAGGAGTAGTACAACTTCATGAGTGCGGTTTCAAAGGGAAGAACAGCAGGACCCCCGAAGAAGAGAAATGGGAGCTTCGAAAGGTATTTTTTCCCCCACAAAATAATATGTTTATTTAATGTAAAACTTTCCTCATAAAAATATTCTCGAGGTGGCTGCCCCAAAATGTAGAGATGATTTAAATGAGGATTAAACAGTACAGGCTTGCTTTAGTATGTCCCCTGCAATCAGACGCAACAGACTACAGAGATGGGCATTCTTTTTTTCCCTCAAGGTTCACATCCTCAACTTTCTCATTCTTGTAAGCAAAAACTCACAGAATATATATGCATCTCTTCTTCTTGCTTGCGTACTCCTCCTTCCGCCTCCAACCTTGTCCAAGCCAAGAATTCTACAGTTGGTCTACTCTTCAGCTGTTTCCCAAAAAAGCTAGGCAGCAGTGATGCCATGAAAGGTTGCTCACAGATTGCATGGAAGCTTCTGGGACTGTATGTGACAGTAGTTTGCCCAAATATGTCTTGAGTATTTCATAATGGCAACTGTTTTCATTGTCTTAAACCAGGGGTAGGCAACCTTGGCTCTTTTATGACTCGTGGACTTCAACTCCCAGAATTCCTGAGCCAGCCATGCTGAGGGGAAAGGGAGAGGTTCCAAGCTGAGCCAAGCTGGCTCAGGAATTCTGGGAGTTGAAGTCCACGAGTCATAAAAGAGCCAAGGTTGCCTACCCCTGTCTTAAACAAAACAGATACAATAAATACTATTTTCATTCTGAAATATGTGAAGTCTTCTTATCCTTATTTTTGGCAGGTTGTGACATACAGTATTTTAAATTCAAATTTTTAGATATCTTAGGTATAAATGTTTAAGTATTTGTAGGTATTCAGTAGCTCTCTAAAATTATAAGGCCACATTTTATTCCAAGTACATAGGCTGTTACCTACACTGAATTTCTAGGGCTCTAAATCACACGAATAAGCGTTAAATTGCTTTCAGTATTAGAGTCTGTGTGTGGGGAGTGTCTTTTAGTGAGTATTGACTCTTGACAACTGCCTGGACTAGTATCTGCAGTTTTCTTGGTAGCGTTTTCAGAAGTGGTTGTGATTTTTTTTGCTAGAGCAGAGAGAGATTGACTGGCCCTAGATCACCCAAATGTCTTTGTGCCTAAGACAGAACTAGAATTCACAGTCTCCTGGTTTCTAGCCTGTCACCTTAACCACTACACTAGACTGGCTCTCAGAGTCTGAGAGGCGTTGTCTTTGTCCATCCTGGTGGTCCTTCAGCACTCAAACAAGCACAAAGGCTACAAAACCTTGAGCAGAGAGAATCTGGGAAGCACATTACAGGTAGTCCTCAACTTACGGTCCCTGTTGGAAATGAATTTCCATTGCTAAGCAATGAAATAGTAAGCCTGACATCATGTGACTGCAATGCACTACGTAGTGACAATGGTCCCGGTTGCTGTCATAACTCCAGATGCCCAGGTCATTAAGCGGGAAGCGGAGGGATTCCTAGATGTGGAAGGGAGGTTGGAGGTGCCCTGGGGAATTTGGCGCAGGCTGCACATGAGTTGGGTGTCCGTGCAGTGTGATACTTGTTCAAGGAAGCCAGGGAGAGAGAGTGCATGTCTGCTAATCCATGGAGACTGTGGAAAGAATAGGGTGCAGCTCTGGGGCTTTTCGGTGTGCTGTGGCTCTGGGGCTGCAAGAAGCCCCTTAGCCAGAGCACAAGGCCGGCCCAGTCTGGATCAGCAGCACAAAGGGGCTTCTTGTCATCCTTGGAAGCTGTAGCTGCCCCAGTCCAGCCACAGTCGACCTGGTCACCCTGTGCTCTGAGGCCCCTGTTACCCCATGCACTACTACCCCAGCTGATATTTACTGTCTTCTTGCTCCTCCTTCCAATGAGGCATGACACTTCGTGAGGCCATCTTCCCCAGGTCACAGGAAGAAATTGCCATCCACAATCTGGGGAAGAAAGTCTTATGTGGCCAGCAGCAGGAGTGTGCTTAGTCAGCAGCCAGAGCAAGAAGTCCACAAATGTCAGCTGGGGGGGGGGGCAGGGGCTGTAGACTGTAGAGGGACCAAAAGAGCATAGATGGGGGAGTTGAAGCCCCCCCTGCAGTTGTAAGTGCAGGCGAGCTATCAAGGCCCTGAATTTTGATCACATGACTGCAGGGCAGTGCAACGGATGTAACTTTGGGGACCCGTTATAAGTTCCTTAGTTCAGTACCATTGTAACTTCCAAGAGTTGCTGAACTAATGGTCATAAGCCCAGGACTACCAGTATAGGAATGGCAATAAAGTTCAAATTTCTATTTAACTATTTAATTTCCCAAGACATTTACTTGATATAAGAGTGAATTGTGGTGAAAACCATACATGCTTCTTTAATCTCTTTAGAGAAAACAGATTAAAATTGATATGTTTTTATATTCTAGGACCAGTTGTTGTACAATGCAGCATTCAATATGTGCCTTACGGGAAACAGAGAACATCCAAGTATGGTATCATGTAATCCCTCAGACTTATTTCAGAAATGGATTTTTGCCCATAACAACTAGGTGCTCCTAGTGCTAATGAAACCAACAAATTAGAATTACAGTAGTTCTTCCAAGACTTAACCAATTTAACGTATGTTGAATCAACTGAATTATAAAATGTTTCTAAGGGTTTTTTTCCCCACTGGCATAAATCTGAAGAACATGTTAGTTTCTTAACTGTTAAATATGTTTACAGAATACTGGAAATTGCATTTTCAGTATACATTTTAATGAAATGTCTGTCTTCAAGATGTAATTTCTTATGTTTTGACGATCAATGTGTCTGTCATATATTTTTACATGGCAAAAGCCACACCGATCCTTTTTGTTAGTAACTAAACATAATTGTCAATGAAGGTTAAAATATTTTTATGTAGTAGTTAGTAAAGAGTGCCTGATAGAAGTTGTTTATAATTTTAAACTGTGATTATTTCCTTTTACTTTTCCTGTTCACTGCTTTAACTATTTAGCATGTCTATAATCTACAATCCATGATATACTGTATTTGTTTAAAACATCACTTCTGAAAGGATTAAGTTATTTTTCGAGTGTGAGAATGAAACAAGTTCTGAACTTCTCTGTTGCCATTTCACTGTGTCTTTGTTCACTATGTTTGTAAGGGTTAATTTCATCTCTTTAAGATTCTCAAACCGATTATAAAAGGCTTGCATTGCTGAAAAAAAGTGTCTGACATATCTTTTGAAATTATACACTACCAGTTTGATAATTATATTGAAATATATTCTTTTTGTATTATGTACAAATTAGGTTTCTGTATTTGTAGTTTCTATTCCTACCTCTTTAATTCTCTTGTCATATACTGAATCAAATACTAACTTTATATGATAAAGGGCTAATATAAGTCAAATAGTTTCTTTCATCAGAAGAATGGAGCACTTTTTATCTTATTTTATCTTATTTGAGCCGCACAATATACAGTTATTTCAACATGCAGGAAATTGTAGCTAAATTATAGCTAACATATACAGCTGCTCAATTGTTCTGCTATGTTGTTAGAGGCAAATTGCTGAGAAAAGGTATCATTCAAATGAGTTATACCAAAATTAAAAAAACACTTGTTTGTGAATATCAAAAGTGTACTGAAAAAAGGATAAACTTTAAGTTTGCCCCTATCCCAATTATAAAAGTGGGAATGTTCCTTAAGAAATGTTTTTCCCAAGAAATGCAGCTTTGTCTGCCATTCTTATTGTCCTAATAGTTGTTTAGGATGAGTCACAGATGCTCACTATGGACATAAAATTACCTGTAATCAGATTCATAGTTGGTCATTGCCAGCCTTGTGTTTGTGTGCAAGCAAATAATGTGTTTATATCTCAGCCAAAACACTGTTATATTTGCAGTTTAATTTTTTTAAAAAAAGTAACTATATTTTTAAATAGATAGATACGTGTATATTTCAACAAAAAGTGGCTATTACAACTCTACAAGTACAGTAAAGAAATTTACTGTTGAGATGTAGTTTGCAGAAATAAATTTTACAGTTTGCCAGATGTGTAAATGAGAGGACTATTTTTATTTAAAAGTGTGTTTTATGGTTTTCTATTTATATACTGTAACTTTCCTTCTTCTTTGTTGCAGTGTTTAAGTCAGAAAGTTAACTACTACTTTCTCTTCTTCCACATTTGAAATTCTAGATTTTTTTCAACCAAAACCATAAACTGAGGCTATCCTTAGCCTTCATAGTATTTCATTGTGGCGTTTTTAATCACAAGAACCAGCATAGGCTTATTCTTTCGCTCCTGCCTTCTGAGTGGTCTTGTATCTGTCTAAAAGTGAATTTAGTTCCAGGTTAGGGTGTTAATTCTTTTTTTTTGTTTTTTGTTTTGTATTCCTAACAATTTTCACTTCTGTGTAATATATTGTGCTTCTGTAGTTCTGTTTTATAATAATAAAAACAATTTGAATGTCAGCTAAATTTGGAATCATGGTTTCTTGTATTTGTGTCTTTAATCAGAACATCCCCAAATATAGCGCTCAAGGCATGTGAAAAGACAAAATCAAATGGCAAAACATTTAACTACTTGTCCTAGAAAAGGAGCAAGGAAGCTCCTGTGAATAGAATAGGACAGTGATGGCGAACCTTTTAGAGACCAAGTGCCCAAAAATTGGCTCCGCCCCTCATCCCCCACCCCCCCTGCCCACAGGGCCACTCACCACCTCCAGGGCCTGCTGCAGATCGCCCAGGCAGCCCAGTAGCACTATGGCGGTCACGCCCTCTGCCCGCGCCCTGCAGCATCAACTGTGCACGATGGGGTGTGAGGGCAGAATCTTGTCTATGCTGCCTGGCTGCCATGTCCTTGGCTGCACTGCTCCACGTGGGCCACGCTCAGGGGCAACTCACCCGCTGGTTGTGTGGCCCGGTTCCCGGTCTGCAGCCCAGAAATTGGAGACCCCTGTTCTTAAAATTATCCTGAACATGACACAGATATTTTTTAGCATCCAGAAACCAAAATGGACTGACTTTCTACATGGTCTGAACAAATGGGAAGTACGTTATTCTGTGTTCAATAAAGATTATTTCCTTTAATTCAAATAGAACAGTATATCTAATTCACTAAAGGAAACCTAGAACTCTTTTAGCAGTTGTATGTTCCTTTCATTTGCATAATTTTGAGAAAAGTCTATCAGACATGAGCTGATTAAATATTAAATATACCATTTTGTTCACTATAGTTTCTCATCCACAAACTTTTATTTTGGTTAGTACTGTTTCATATTCAATCAACTTGCAAGAAAAACACCGATTACAGTTTATAATTTATAAACTAGTTCTTGGAAGACAGCATCAAAGTTTTCAAATTATTCAGTATTAAGCAGCTGCTTAGCAAGATTACTGTTTACTTTTCTAAAAAGGAGAGTTATTCTAAATGTTTATTCAATTAATTAGCCAGCAGAGGATGCTGTTGCAGAATTATTTCCAGCAGTGTCTGTCCACGGCTTCTAATCTATGCATGTTGCATAATAAAATTCTGATTAGGATCTGATGTTTATACTGATGCAAAAACAGTTTTCCCCTTTTGTGAAATGGGCCCTAGTTATCTTTCTTGATGGAAATGTGGAACCACAGTTTGAACAAGACAAAGTGGAAAATAACTGGAATTTATTTTTGGAATACCCTAAGACCCTAAGTACTACAGTTTCTAGCCTCAATTTCCAAGGCATGTTTCTGGGATGCTTGAATGAAAGCACTCAAGCTTCCTGTTTCTAACATGGCTTCATAATAAAGCTCTCGGAGTCCTAAAATTGCAGGTGTAAAAAGGGGGTAAAAAGAATCAATAAAACAAATATAGTTTCTATCTACCTCTATGTCAAAAAGTTCTGCAGGGATAAAGCATCAGTCCTTTATTCCATTTCAATTATCTCCTTCCAGCTTCTTCTCCCCAAAGACGTTTGTGAAAGAAAAGAGGCAAGGAACCTTTTTTTAGTTTCTCTCAGGCAGTGCTGGAATATCTATTAGTTTAAGCAATGCCAAGTACCATTTTTTTTGTATCATCTTCAACAACTGAGGTAATGGGGAGTCTTTTGGAGCATGATGGTAGAAAATGAATAAGTGAATAATTTGGAGCGGGAAGGAAAGGAAGACGAGATGAGGGAAGAAGCAACTGCCGATAACTTCAAAGGGATGATTCGATTGAACAGAGTTTTGATTGCATCACGTTCATCAAAGATTCAAAAATCAAAGCAGGAAGCTGCTTCAAAACCATGAAGTTGGAGGTTCTGCGGCACTATGGCAATTTCCAAAGCACTTCAGAGGCATAGATTTAGGTGTAGCTAGGCATTTTCTGGCCAAGGAAGAAAATGTAGCGCAATAGATGGTGCCTGCAGACTCAGGAGGTTTAGAAGGAATTTCCTTATTTTGATTTGTCTCCTGTTGCAACCCGTTTAGTAGTTTGATTCTTCTTGAGGCAAAAGTAATCATGGACTGCTGAAGTTATCTATAGTCCTTTGATTTCAGCTTATTTCTGTCATCCATCACCTTGGATATTTTTTCTCACTTTGAGGAATGGATTTTAGAAAGAGTACCTTTTAGGTCATATAGTTTAATGTTTTCTTATTATAATCACATGCTTTTTAAAATTATCTCTAAGTCACAGTCTTCCTATATGGTAGGGAAACCGCTCCCTGATTATTCCAGCAGTTGACAATGAACTGTAAGTTTTAATATGACAGAATTTTTTTTAGCTGTATTTAGCTAATTGTAAAGAAGGGATTCATGCCACCCCACATTAAAGATAAGCAGGAGTCCCAAAATCAGAGATGGAAAGGAGCATTTGGACCGAGTCCAAATTCCTGTTCACTACAAGAATCCAAATGAAAGCATTCTAGACCAGTGGTTCTCAACCTTTTTAATGCCACGACCCCCAACCGGTCGTAAGTCGAGGACTAAACCGGTCGTAAGTAGAGGACTAAACCGGTCATAAGTCAAGGACTTTCCCTGCCTGGGAGCGCCACGCATGCGGGGTTCCGCCCCCTGCGCCGGCCGAGGCGTAGCTGGCAAGCGGCAGAGACGGAGCAGGCCGACCACCAGCTGGCCCAGCCCAAGGGAGGTAAGGCACCCGCCGGAAAAGGGGGAAAAAATGGCGGACAGCCTTGCTTCGCGACCCCCGTGAAATGGTCGATCGACCCCAAATGGGGTCGCGACCCATAGGTTGAGAACCACTGTTCTAGACAAATGGCTCTCTAGCCTTGGGTTAAACATTTTCAGCAATGGTTAATTGCCTCCATTGTTCAACTGATCCTAGTTAGAAAAGTTATTTTTCCCTTTTTGATTGCTTCCTGGAATTTAACTCTATTATTCCATGTCCTATCCCCTGGAGCAAAAGAGACCAGGTGTTTGAGATTGCCATCCAATCTTTCCTTGGCCCAGCAGCATGCACCGCAAACCGCAGGGACACATGTGTGATGACGGAATTACATCACCTTGCAAGTATTGACATTTGCCCGTCTTCCATTCCCTGCAGATGTCAAGGCTTCATGTGACTTTTCTGAAGGCAAAATATGCCCGCTTTTTTTCCATTTCTCTTCATAGCAGTTCGGAATTGCTCTAGGAGGGCATGAAATTATAGAATTAGATTACAAGAAAACTGATTTTGGGTGGACATCGGGAAACATTTCTGAATGGTTAAAAGCTAGTCAACAATGGAACAGAGTGGCTGAGGTTGATTGTGAACTTCTTTATTGGAGACGGTCATTTTTTAGGGAAGCTGTAGTAGCAGATGTCTGCACTGGGCAGTTTGGGACAGAGGAGAGGTACTCTTAAGGTCGCTTCCAATTCTTATCTTGTATGATTCTGTGATAGTTGTGACTTTCTTGCTAACAGTATGGCCTACTTGGCCACTGAGTTGTCCAACGAAGAATATCTTGTGTAGATGTATTTAAGAGTAAAATATTTACCAGAACCACAATAACTTATGTTGTACAGGTCAGGGATCCTGACTAGGCATGCTTGCAAATTTAAAACTAATTGGTAGACTATATGCCAGTGGTTCTCAACCTTTTTAATGCCGCGACCCCCAACCGGTCGTAAGTCGAGGACTAAACCGGTCGTAAGTCGAGGACTAAACCGGTCGTAAGTCGAGGACTACCCAACCGGTCGTAAGTCGAGGACTTTCCCTGCCCGGGAGCACCGCGCATGCGTGGTTCCGCCCCCTGCGCCGGCCGAGGCGTAGCTGGCAAGCGNCCCATAGGTTGAGAACCGCTGCTATATGCAGTCTAATAAAACAAAAATGCAACATCACACAATGCCCAACTACCTTTTCCCTTTCATGGTTTTACAGCTTTGCAAAGGAGGCTAACTCCAGTCAGGATAAAAACATTTTCTAGATTTCAAGGCTCTATATCTAGATGAACACTAGTTTTCCACACTCTCAAACACATTAATAATTTAAATTCAGATAAGGCTAATAACACCCTTCTAGTACAAAAGAGACATAGCTGATGTAACGTAGAAACCTGATTTACTTTGTTGCAAACAAATGGACAATAAATATATATATTGTACAATATATAATAAAAATACAGCATAGTACGAATGCCACTAAGAAAAAAAATAACCTAATTTTAAGACTTATAAATGCTTATTTTTAGTATATACATTGCAGAATAAGCCACAATAAATACATCAAATTACAGATCATTCATCATAAATACCAAAAATATAAATACAGAAGGAATACAGCATAAAATAAAGTTTGTAGCACAAGGTATAGTTTAGGAGGGTTTGCCACCCACACTAACCCTTTTGGTATCTGTGAAGTTGCAAATGATAATGCAAATTAAATCGACCTGTGGGAGTTGCACTATAACGTCAATTATAGCTTGTATGTACGTTCTGTGTTCATGTTTTAGTGTCATGCGATCCATGTCTTTGGGAAGGGGAGGAATTTTGGACAGTATAACTGTTAGAACCTTTGGCAGGAGGTGAAGCTCTGAAAATCATTCTGATCTGCTGTGAAATTTATTAATTGAAAACTACTAACTTTATTTTCGATTTTCAAGTAAGTTGCACCTCTGTCTTAAAACTTCAATTCTTTCTCTTTCCTGGAAAAACAAACAAACAAACCAGTTCTACAGGTAGCCCTCAGCAACCACAACTGGGCCCCGCAATTTGGTTATTAAACAAAGCAGACACTCATTGGAACTGCAACTAGCTTATGATCTTACTTCAGCTTTCCTTCGTTTTACAGACCTGCAAAGATCTTAAATATAAGGCCTGGTCACAAAATTACTTTTTTTAAAAAAAAAATCACCAATTGCTAAACAAGTCACTCGCTAAATGAGGACTACCTCTGTTAGATCCACAGTGCCATTGGACCTGCTACTGTCTTCCTTTATACTGAAAGCATTTCAAACGAGATGAATTCTATGTATCTGCCATGCATCT